AGTAATAGCAGTAGCGGTATTAGTAATAGTAGTAGTAGTAGTAGTAGTAGTAGTAGTAGTAGTAGTAGTAGTAGTAGTAGTAGTAGTAGTAGTCGTAGCCGTAGTAGTAGTTAGTCGTAGTAGTAGTAGTAGTAGTAGTTAGTAGTAGTAGTAAAAAATATTAGTAGTAGTAGTGTTAGTGGTAGTAGTTAGTAGTAGTCCCAAGTAGTAGTAGTAGTCGTAGTAGTAGTAGTAGTAGTAGTAGTAGTAGAAAGAAGTAGAAGTAAAGGTAGAAGTATAAAGTAGTATTTAGTAGTAGTAAGTTAGTAGTAGTAGGAGTAGTAGTAGTAGTAGTAGTAGTAGTAGTAGTAGTAGTAGTAGTAGTAGAGTATAAGTAGAAGTAGTAAGTAGTATTAGTAGTAGTAGTAGTAAGAGGTTAGTAGTTAGTATTAGTTAGTAGTCGTAGTTAGTAGGTTAGTAGTAGTAGTAGTAGTAGTTAGTAGTAGTGGTAGTAGTAGTAGTAGTAGTAGTAGAGTGTAGTAGTAGTCGTTAGTAGTAGGAGTACGTGAGTTAGGTAGTAGTAGTACTAGTTACTAGTAGTAATAATAGTAGCAGTAGCAGTCGCAGTAGTTAATAGTAGTAGTAGTAGTAGTAGTAGTAGTAGTAGTAGTAGTAGTCTTAGTAGTAGCAGGAGTAGTAGTAGTCGTAGTAGAAGTAGTAGTAGTTGTAGTATGTAGTATAGTAGTAATAGTAGTAGCTCGTAGTAGCAGTAGTTAGTAGTAGTAGTAGTAGTAGTAGGAGGAGTAGTAGTGCAGTTAGTAAAAGTAGTAGTAGTAGTAGTAGTAGTAGTCGGAGTAGTAGTAGTAGTAGAAGTAGTAGTAGTAGAAGTAGCTAAGTAGTAAGTCGTAGTGTAGTTAGTAGTAGTAGTAGTTAGAAGTAGTAGTAGTAGTAGTAGTAGTAGTAAGGAAGTAGTAGAGTACTAGTCGTTAGTAGTAGTCGTTGGAGTAGTAGTCATAATAGTAGTAGTAGTAGTAGTAGTAGTAGTAGTAGTAGTAGTAGTAGTAGTAGTAGTAGTAGTCGTAGTAGGTAGGATTAGTAGTAGGAGTAGTAGTAGTAGTAGTAGTAGTAGTAGTAGTAGTCGTTGTTGTTGTATTAGCAGTGGTGCTAGTTGTAGTAGTACAAGTAGTATTAGTAGTACTAGTAATACTAGTAGTACTACTAGTACTAGTGGTACTAGTAATACTAGTAGTACTAGTAGTACTGAGCGTACTAGTAGTAGTCGCAGTAGTAGTAGTAGTAGTAGTCGTCGTCGTCGTTGTCGTCATCGTCGTAGTAGTCGTAGTAAACGTAGTAGTTGTAGTAGTCGTAGTGGTCGTAGTAGTCGTAGTCGTAGTCGTAGTCGTAGTCGTAGTCGTAGTCGTAGTAGTAGTAGTAGTAGTAGTAGTAGTAGTAGTAGTAGTAGTAGTAGTAGTGGTAGTAGTGGTGGTAGTAGTAGTAGTAGTAGTAGTAGTAGTAGTAGTAGTAGTAGTAGTAGTAGTATTAGTGGTAGTAGTAGTCGTACTAGTAGTAGTGGTAGTAGTAGTAGTAGTAGTAGTAGTAGTAGTAGGCCTGATCGTAGTAACTGTAAACTATACACGCATCTCAAATCACATACAACAAAGCACACGCCACTGACTGCACATGCGGTCTGTTTCGTATATGGTACATTCATTACAGCTGAGCGCACAACAGCGCCTGTGTGCACCGCAGTGCCTGCGTAAAGGGATCCCGATACACCCTGATTTGCATCCCTATGGCCTCTGAACCACAGGCTTGGCATGGACACGGGATTTGCCGAAGGCCCCTGAATAATATTGAAGTCCTTTCTCTCCGCGGCGGAACTGGGAACTCCGGCATCCTGCATTTGAGCATTGTCCCCACCACTCATGGACAGACAGCGAAAACACAACAATTTCTCATATACGCAGAACTGCCTTTCCTGCATCCGCTTCTATCAGACGGGACTCGGGAGGACGTGGGAGGAAGGTGTGAGGATATGGGAGGCCTCATGAGGACTGTTGTTCAAAGCCGCGCCCTTTTTTAAGCAGTCAGGTTTTCAGCAGGCGCTCAGAAGCTTGCAAGAGGCCTCTCCGGAGCCTCTCAGAAACCTCCACGAAACCGTTAGGAAGCCTCTCAGAAGCCTTTGCTAAGCCTTTCAGAAGCGTCTACGAAGGCTTTCAAAAGCTTTGAGAAGCCTCTCAGAAGCCTTTCGGAAGCTTTTACAAAGCCTTTCGGAAGATTTCCGTAAGCGTGTCAGAAGCCCGAAGCCTCTAGGAAGCCTCTCAGAAGCCTCTGCGAAGCGTCTAGGAAGCCTGTCGGGAGCCTTTCAGAAGCTTCTGCGAAGCCTCTATGAAGGCTTTCAGAAGCCTGTAAGAGGTCTCCTGTACCAAAAAACGATAAGCTTGATTTTTGCTTGGCGGGAATTTGTCCCAACGGCTGGGGCTGGACCCACCGAGCAGATCGTACCAATATCGGGGCGGAGGTCGTCAACGCCGTGACCGCGCCGGCGGTGGTCCGGCTCCTGGGCGTGACGGCGCTGCCACAGGCGGCGTTGCGCCGCCCCTTGGCTCTGTGCCTCGCCTGCTTGGCCTCCCTCGTGTCATGCGGACGCACACAACACACACGCACACACACACCCATACACACGCACACACACGCACACACACACGCACACGCGCACACACGCACACACACACACACACGCACACACGCGCACACACATATCGGGTTTGGCCAGGACTCCGGGTAAGGGGACTCGGTTAGTGGTAGGGCCCTGGAGCCCTTGAATGGGCCAGAATCATTAAACCAGGTTTGCCATAGCTGGTGTTTTTTCCGGTGACGGCAGTTCTGGTTGGTGGAAATGGGACGGGGGGGCGCCCCCGGTACAGATCACTAAACCAGGTTCCACTAAACCCCAGTTTTGCCAACGCCCGACCATACACACACGCACACACCCGCACACACGCACACACACGCACACACACACACACGTTCATGCACACGCGCGCACACGCACACGCACACGCACACGCACACGCACACGCACACGCACACGCACACGCACACGCACACGCACACGCACACGAACACGCACATGCACACGCACACGCACACGCGCACGCGCACGCGCACGCGCACGCACACGCACACGCACACGCACACGCACACGCACACGCACACACAAACAAAAACAACACAAACATAAGCACAAACAAAAACACAAACAGAAGCACAAGCACAAGCACTATTACAAACACAAACACAAACACACAAACACACAAACACACAAACACACAAACACACAAACACACAAGCAAACAAACACACAAGCACACAAACACACAAACACACAAACACACAAACACACAAACACAAACACACACACAAACACACATAGACACATGCACAAACCCACTCACACGCACACGCACACGCACACGCACACGCACACGCACACGCACACGCACACGCACACGCACACGCACACGCACACGTAACACGCACACGCGCACGCACACGCACACGCACACACACACACACACATACGCACGCACAAGCCGTTCTGACCCAGGTGGCCTGGGTACAGCAAACGTTCAGAGCGGCGAGTGCTGTACCGAGTCGAAGGGGCTCGTTTGCACTGCTACTTTCTCCGCGGGGCACAGCGATGGCGAATGTCGGAACGCATAGGAAATTTCCATACTGCCCGAAGTTCACCCCGATCAGCAAGTTTAAGTGCGTCGAGTCGGGGTGCAGCGGAGTTCGGCCTGGCCCAGCACTCGCTCCGCGACCTTGGCACCAGGCTGGAGGCACATGGGTTCATGGCGCTCCGCAGCTGGGGGCCCGTCAAGCCTCCTCGCCGTCGTGGTGCTGCTGGTGCTACATTGGATGATGCTGGTGTCAAATCTTATGCGGAGCTCAGTCAAGAAATCTGGGATCTTGTCAAGTCTAATCTGTCGCAGTCGAGCCGTGATCGCGTTCGGTATGCGAGGACGGCGGCAGCTGCGGGCTGGACTCCCGGCGTCACGAACTCTAACGAGGCTTTGCTCGCTGGTCATCGTCATCGTCGTCGTCGGCCTCGCCACCGCCATCGTCATCGTCATCGTCATCGTCATCGTGTTCATCGCCATCGTCGTCGTCATGGGCATCATCCCCTTCATCAGACTTGCGGAGCCACGGTCTGCAAAACATCGCAGCGTCGGGCGTGGGGGGCCTCTCTCCTCCTCCACTGCCCGCCTGCGCCTCTCTCTCCGTCGCCCTCCCTCCTCGGCCTTGCCCCCCTTTCCTTTCCTTCCCTCCCCCTCCCTGCGTCCCTTGGAAGCCTGTCTCCAGTTCCTGCTCCCTCTTGGTGCCTCCCCTTTGCTCTGCCCGCCCTTCCCATCTCCCCATCTCCCGTTTCCCGATCCCCTTCTTGTTCTTCTTCTTCTTCTTCTTCTTCTTACGATTTACATGGTATTTTTCCGTGTTGCACTTCTGTTTCTTCTCCCTCCTTTTTTTTCCGCCTCGCTCTTCTTTTTTTGTTATTTATATATATATATATGTTCCTCTCGTACGCTCCCTCTAGCTTCCTCTCTCCCTCTCCCTCCTCCCTCCTCCCTACCTTTTAGCTTCCTCCCTCGCCCTCCCCCTCTCCCCCTCCCTCCGTCTCCCTCTCTCTTCTTGGGGGCTGCTCAGGGTGGTCCTGGCCACAGGTGGCCTCGGCTTCTCGCGCCGTCTGCGCCGCTTGGAAGCCCTCGGGGCACGTCCAGGCCTCGTCGGGGGTGCTTTGCATGCCACCCGCCCGGGCCACCGCTGGGCCAGGGCCGCCTCCTGGCAACGGGCAGCGCCCCTCTTAGCCAGAACCCTGGCGTCTCCTCCTCCTCCTCCTCCTCCTCCTCCTCCTCCTCCTCCTCCTCCTCCATCTCTTTTTCTTCGCCTCCTCCTCCCCTGCATCTGGGGCGCTCCAAGCATGGCCTTGCCTGCGAGGATAGAGAGAGATGTCATCTCTTTCGCGGCGGAAGGTCGGCGGAAGTAAAACGATGCCACCTCCGCTGGCGGAAGTCGGCGGAAGGCGGCGCAAGTAAAAATTGTGCCCCCAAGGGATGAAAACGTTTTTGGGCTCAGGGTTTCCGAAATCGCCCACATGTCTCGACCCCCTCCACGGGAGGGGAGGGCAACGGGAAAGGGAAACGTGAGGAGTGAGAAGGAACGGGAGACATGCTCAAAGTCGGA